CAGCCCGGGCCTCTCCCGCAGGGGGCATCCAATGGGAGCGGCAAAAGTACAGGAAAACACTTCAAGCCTCCTGCCAGCTTGAAAGCCTGGGCTTCCTTTTCATTTAAGTAGGTTATTCCCCAGTCAGCCTCCTCCATTTCCAGTGCCCAAGTCCCGTCCTGCAGAGCCCCGCTGTTGCCAGGGGCTCACCTGGCTGTGGGCAGCACGCTCTGCACCAGGTAATGCTGCAGAAACCCGCTGGAAGCGCCCTCACTGTGGGACACGGGGGAGCTTCACTGAACTGCCCAGGCTGGCTGGGGGCAAACCTGCCAGTTGTTTATTTACACGTGTCTGGGTTGGTACGGGAGAGTGTAAATGAGTAACGTGGAGAAATCACAGTTGTGTTTCAGTGGGATTGTCCTTCCTAAATCACTGTTTTGTCCAAGTGTTTTTCTCTGAAAAATTTCTGATTCACCTCAGTCTTTTTGTTTGGAGCAGTCATGAATTAATAATAAATACCCTCTTAAAGACTACAAATTGCACCACACACGAGGCGGAAAAATCCATCGGTGCTGAGACTTTGCCCTTTTAATGCCATTAATTAGTTTGTCCGTTAAGAATTCCCAACTGACAGACATCGTTGGCTGTTGGAAAACTCGCTCCCAGTCAGGTCTGTCCCTGACCTACCTCTCCTGGACCTGGCCATTGCGGTTACCTGTGTCCTCACAGCCCGAGGAGGAGGAGGAGGGGGCTGGAGCAGCAGTTCTTCAGTGTGTGTGCCGTGTCCTCTGCACACCCGGCTCTCCCGGGCACACCTCGCTCTCCCAGTCCCTGGCTGGGGATGGAAGCAGCAGAACAGATATTTCTAGTTTCTCTGAAGGACAGTATGCTATGAGAAAAAAAAAGTAAAATACGATTTAATAGTTCAGTGGGATTTTCCTGAGTGTATAGTCACTCCTGGCTATTTATAGTTCTGTAATTTGAATATCCCGAAAGATGCCGTCGTCAGAGGCTTTTTCATGATTCTTTTGAAGAACGAACCCATACTTGTTTGAACAAGTCACATCATGGGAGATGTTATTCTACACTCTCCACCCACACAACCCTGGGAGTGATTTTCATTTGAGAGCTTGTTAAACATAGGAGCAGTCAACTGGAGCCCCTGTTCCAAGGCACAAAGGATTCACACCTGGCAATCCTAACTCCAGTAGTGGGAAAGGCCATGGCTGCTCTGCAAGGGACTGTTGGTAGCACTGCCCAACTGCAGGAGGTTGGCTTTGGCTGCTCTGTGACACCAGGTGTGACACTCACCCCCTTAGAGCTGTTTAGGGTCAGGTGTGCTGTCACCTGTCCCACACAGAGGGGCCTGAGGGGAGGACAGACAATCAAAAGCCTTTGACAATGGCAGAAGTGACCAGGGCAGCAGAGTCTGATCCTATGGTAGGGCCCAAGGGACCAGATTTCACCCATCTCACCCGGGACAGTGCTGGGGCACCTTCAGCCATCCCGGGGTCAGCCTGGAACAGGAACATGCAACAAGGACAGGAAAGGGCTTTAATTTTAATACCTGTGCTTGTTTCTTTGCAGCTTTTCAGCGTGCTTAAGGAAGTCTCCTATGAAGGGAATTACAAGTTTAGTATAAATTTGGACCCATCTAAAATATGAAAACTCGTTATTCCAAGTCAGAGGTATTTGGAAACATTTATGCCAGAGAGACAGCTTAATATTTAGCAATGAGCCACTCATATTGTGGGTCAGACTTACTGCCTGTGATGAACAACTTCCTTTCTTTTCCTCTTTATAGAGTTTTTAGCTCAAGAACAAAATTTATATCGCCACATCAATGCATTTTTACATTATTATTTTCCATTGTCAAATATTTTATCAGCAGCTGGGCAGGGATTCTGAAGCTATTTCCTTAGACAGAACTGCCTGCTCCAAGGGTGCAATTTCCCCCTAAGTATAGTTTTTCCAACTGCATAAAGACATGGCTAAAATGAAACTCTTTCTCCTTTCATTCCATCCCCATGGCTACAGTGTATTTGTGATCTCAAGCAGCAGGAGGCTCGGCTGGCCAGAAGAGGAACCTGAGGAATGTTTTTGACAGCAGTGGTTGAGCAGGTGCTGCTCAGGAGTCAGCTCCCACCAGAGGTCCAGCTCAGGACTAATGAAAATTTCTTCTAAAGGAAAGAAAATGTGCTCCTGAAATGGAACAGTTCCCAAACTGCTGCTCTTCCACTCGTGCAGCCCCAGCTGGCACCAGGAGCACGGCAGGAATCACCTGGCCAGGTGTCTGCAGGTCTGTCTGTCCACTCACTGTGCAGGAACAATAAGATGTCTCAGAAAAAGTCAATGCAGTCACACTTTAATGTGTCTTTACATCCTTTTACGATTCACAAAGCCAGAACATAAGTACTTATACATTTTTAATGGGAAAGTAATGTATCCCCCTAAAAGAAAAATAGGTGTGATTAATCATTTGTCATAGAAGTTGCCTGACAGCTGAAACCTCAAGCTTCTAAGCTAGAAAAGCTCAAATAGACAAATTATACTGAATTGTTCTTTAAAGACCAAGCAGCTGTTTTATTACAATATTAAATTTACATTTTAAAAAGAAATATTCTGATTTATTATTCAGTTATGATAATCTTATTGAAGTGACATGAAATTCATGACAATGGGCTTTATTCTGTCCTCAGTCACCACAGGCAATTGGGTTTGCCATTACTTAGATCTGTGCAAGTCCCCACACCCAGAGCAGCACCAGTCTGGGAAGACAAACCCCAGACACTGGATTTCAACTTGGTTCTATAATTTTCCCCAGAAAAAGTGGGGGTTTGGGTCTGGGACTGGGCTGGATCCCTTGGTTCAGCCCCAAAGAACCCACCCAAACTCACTGTCCCAACAGAGCAAGGATGTCAATGTCCACCACCTTCACCCCACAGCCCCCGGGAATGACCTTCAAACAACTGGGAGCAGGTTCAATTTACATTTTACTTCAAAAAAAAAAGGGAAAGTACATACATGGGGGGAGAGTGGGGTGAACAATAATTATCTGAAACCAGGGTTCCACCAGTGTGACCCACAGCTCCCCCGGGCCGGGGGCTCTCTCAGGTCACACGCTCAGCGCTGGGGCAGCACGGACAGGACTGGGGAGGAGGAACCCCCGGGCTGGGGGTGCAGTGAGAGCACACACGGGGCGAGTGTGTCCGACAGCTTCTGGTTTAAATGACAGAACCAGCAGGGAGGAGGAGGAGTTAACAGTTACTAACACTAGAATAATCAAATTTATATGTTATACATATACAGCAACTAACTGCTTTACAAAAAAAGCAAAATAATACAATATATTGTCACATGTATTTACAGTGTAGTAAATATACTTTTCTGTCAAATTTTACACAAAAATTATTTACAGGTGAATATACTGCATAAAAAAAAAAGGTGGGACCAACACTCCGAGTGACTGTCTGTGGTTTGTTGCATAACAGTAGGACGTGCTTCATGACACTGATAAAAATTAACCTTAGAATGAAACAGAAAAAGCCCTAAAACCTACAACCCGGGTCGGAGCGAGCCCTGGCACAGGCCGGGGGCTCGGCCCACGAGACTTAGTGAAATGTTCCCTGTCTGGGGAACCTCATGCACGGTAAAGCAGAAACATCGGCATCATTACAGGTAGGTTATGCACTATTCAAATACTACTGAGTTATCTTTAAGTCAGGGAAAATATCAACACAAACAGAATGTTAATTGTCTTTACAGTACTGAGCTGTGGTCAGTGTGGGGCAGGGAACAGGCTCTGAGCCAGGGGTGTCACACACGGTCCCCGCGAGGGTGTTACATGGTCCACGTGTTCCTGTTGGGATTTCTCTGAATCTCAAGTTTTCATGTCAAAGCACAGGGACTCCGGGGCTGCAGCT